TAACAGTGGGATTACTGAGGTAATGGATATAACGTGTTTAAGACTTGATACTGGCTGCCTTATTGATACCTAGGGCTGATACTTCACTTCCGTTTTGCTTCAATCTGCCTCTTCTCCCTCCTTCCTCCATCTTCCCTCCATGTGCCTAAAGGTCTGAGGGCCAGGCTATTACAGCACTAAATATTTAGCTGCTTCTTGAGAGAGAAGCAACAATGAGGTGACTAACCTCTCATAGGCAATTAATTCATTTTTTTCTGGCATGAAAGTATTTGGGAACCTGGCATTTGGAGTCTAGTCCTTGTTTGTTTTTTTTTCCTTATAAAATTCAAAATTTGTTCTGACTCTTTATCTCACTGGCAAGAATATGAAAATAAAGATGTGGTATAATTGTTATCTTTCCATGTCTTACAAACTCATGGTGTCTCTACCATTCCTAACTCAAGGAATTCAGAATGAAAATGAGTCATTTTTTAAGATGAGGAGACCAATTAATATATATATTAATTTATAGATTATATGTACTTTTGAAAGAGATCTCTCTCTCTCTATATGATAAACCTACTGTCATCATATATATGAAAAAAAATGTATTTTTAGTTGAACTCTCATCTCTAAGATGCTAAATTGCTGGACGGCTGTTGTTTACCATAGTGTATTCCATACTCCCTCATAAAGTCAACACTGATTGTTAGGTCGGGATGCCCGTCCTTTCCCCACCCCACCCCATGTGACATGAGACAGAGAGATCCCTAAAGAAGAGGAAAAGAAGACAACTTGTGTTTATTATAGTCCTAGTCGTGAGCCATTACTGCTTTGTAGTAGATACTGGCGTTGCCATTTTACAGGCGAGGAGCTCTCTGACGCTTGGAAAGCTTAAGAAACTTGTCTAAGCTTCTTGGACCCAGCCAGTATGAACTGCACCCTTTCGCCAAACCCTTCTGCCTTCCAGGAGGACAGAAGGAGCCGTGGAGCTTCTGAAGCTTACATTTGGGAGAGGTGCTGCCCCCACAGAGGACTGGTGCTGTCAGCCAGCACGCATGCCTCCCACCGACAAGTCCTTCCATGGGCACGTGTGGAGGCTCAGAGACTTCTCTGTTTTTTCCCTCTCGTTGTTGTTGTTGTTAAGTGCCATTGAGTCGTTTCCGACTCATAGCGACCCCATGCACAGCAGAATGAAACACTGCCCGATCCTACGCCAGCCCCACAATCCCTGCTATACTTGAGCCTTCCCTCTCATTACAGGGCTTTTAAGGTTCCTAGGTGGGCAAACAGCTGCGTTCGAATAGTCAAACAGTTTGCTAACCTAATTGTTAGTTTGAACCCACCCAGCAGTACCACTGAAAAGGCCTGTGGATCTGCCTCCATTAAGAGCCCAGAAAACCCTATGGAGCAGTTCTAGTCTGAGACACATAAGGTTGCCATGTGTCAGAGTCCACTGGATGGTGGCAAACACAAGATGTTTTCCTCTGTCCAGTGGGATATTTAATCCCAGGTCTTCCTGTCTTGGGTCTGTCTGTTGGACGCTTTAGGTTTTGTGTTGACTTCGCGTTGTTCTCCCTTTCCCAGTTCCTTCTAACCTTTCCTCTCCGTCTCCTGGCTTTGTGGCTGACTCCTCCTGCTGTCCTTCCCTATCACTGTGC